CTTGAAAGCTTAAATAAATTAAATATTAAAATCTATAATTAGCTATAACTTTCTTTTTTATATAAAGAAAATCATTAATAATTATTTTAATAAAGTCTTTTATAGTAACCCCTTATAACAGGTCCCTATATAGGGGGCCCTATATATAAAAATTTAAGGGTTTAAGTATACTTCCTATCTCTAAAGCTAGAACGCAATAAGGAAATAACACTTCTAGACCTACTCCTACAAGCTCTGGGTGTTTGTCTTCCATGCGGTCTAACAAGTCTGCATCCATGCATGCTAGAGTATGAAATATTTATATACTTACTCTAGATGCGACTGGAGAATAAGGGTTCATCAATTCAGCCAAATTTTGATTCGCTTAATTGAAAGGGGTTTCTTCTTCAAGTTATTCAATTATGTTAGAGGTGTGAACTTTTTCCTAGCCAGTCCCGACCTTTTGACTCTATTTGATCACTCATCTCAATCTGTCACAACACATCCTGTTTTGAATTATTTGCGATATTTCGGATACGATGTCGCAAAAGCCCAGCCAAGGACACCCAGTTGTGCACAATCCTATAGAGGAGGATGTCACGGCAAGTCCCTCTGATATTGTCCAAGCGCTTTTCGAACAAACCGTCAAAAGGCTAGACGCGCAGAGAGCGGAGAACAAACCCTACGATCCACATCTCCAGGCACTTCTCGAATCGTTTTACAAGACATCAAACGAGTCCAATGCTGGGCATGAAAACAAAAGCATGCAGGAAGTTATTTCTGAAATGTGGAAGAACCTGCCAAGACAGGAAATTGGCAATGGTAGTCCTCTCAAGGACCCATTCTTTCAATCAGCTGAACGATTTGCGGTCGAGGCTGAATACTACACGGCTTCTTCCTCAGGTCAAGCGGCTGAAGATTTTGCGAAAGAGTGGATGGAAACCTACGATGGTTACAAGGAGATAGCAGCGCTTGAGCAGCCCCCAGAGCCTGCGCCTGCTGAGCTCAAGGGCGCAAGCGAAAAGCTGCAGAAGCTTTTGGGCGATCACGACATAGACGTGGACTCACGCCCAGACAAGCTGACTGAGAAGGAATATGCCGAGTTGATGCGGAAGAAGAATGATCGGGAGCGACGACAGGCAATCTGGGAGGGCCGTACAGAGCATCCCAAGTGGATGGCAGAGTTCACAGCACCAGAGATTGCAAACATTCTGAAGATCAACAAGATTGAGGAGAAAAAGCGCAAAGACCGAGAGGCAATTGAACGCAAGAAGTACGAGGAGGATATGAAGAGGGAGGAAAAAGAGAAGCAGGAGAAGAAAGATCGTGAGACTTTTGAGGAGCGACGGAGACGACTCGAAGATGTTCGGAAGACCAAACGGGAGGCTAGGATTAAGAAGGAGAAACCCAAGACCAAGTACTTTTTACATCCTCTGTAGAATAGGCCATAGTGTATTTATTTCTGTTTCTATAACCTGAGTTCAGTCCTGTGAATTAGTTATCGAAACTACTTGATGCTTTAAAGCTCGCTTGTTGAACCTGTATTCGAAAGACCTTTTACGATGTCATCTTGATAAAAGGACCATACTCTGGCTTTGCTTGCTAACCTTTGACCTTAATTCAAGCGGCCAGTTCATTCTAGAGTAGCGCGAAGAGGAAGAAAAGTAGAAATATGTGGGTTTCTCCAATGATAGACTTAAATTCATGAGGGATTTAAACCACTCCATAACAGAAGTTTATTTCTCACAATGGTTGATGCATGTCTCGCAACTATTGAACCATAATAAATGGTCTCATAATCAAGTCACCGCCCACAATCTGTAGAAGCCAACGCATGCCTGTTAGCGAGTTTGTGGCTGGCTGGTCCAATGCAGGGTCCTCCAGGGCGCGGCCCGAAATGGCAAAATGTCCGCAGAAAGACATGACAAGCTATTAGGGAAAAATTGGGCAGATAAGCAGGCCAAGAAACCATTGTTCAAATACTTTGTCTAAGCTATATGGCTAGCTCGATTGTTGTCATTCTAAATATACAGCTTCCCCTTAAAGTAACCAAATTATCTGTCCGCACGCTCAACACCCAGCCCCAATCCTCTACTCCATACAATTTCAAAATGCCAGAAGAACCATTCGACGAGCATTACCTGTCAGCTGATGGGCTGATGCAGGCTATGCATGGGCGTTCCACCACCGGAGGATGGGATATGGTCGTCTCTTACAGAGCTAAACAGCTAAGCGATCTCCTAGCTCAGGTATGGGACAAAGATCGCAATACCGACATTATCAAAGATGCGGACAAGGCAGTTGTCATGGGACACAAATGCGCCTATGAGTTTCATCTCGGTACTCCTCTGCTGCAGTTTGCGTCAGTTGAGGGTGCGTGTATGGCAGACCTGATCATCCCCATTAGTGGAACAGTCACAGTTGAGCTATATATGTATGACAAGGTTACAAAGAAGCCCGCCGATACACCATATACAACTATGCCTCCAGAAGAAATACCAAAGGGCGTTTGGAACCTTCGGATCAGAGTGCCTATCAAGTCCCTCACCGGCGATGTCGATGCTAAAGATCTTGACAAAGAAGGACAGGTGAGATATACTACTGAAGATTAGTAGCTTACGGATACTTTTAGAGAATTTGCTAACGTTCGCTTATTATCTGCAGAGCAGTGGAAAGATTACCCAGCTGGGTGAGGGTCAGAAAGATCGAGCGAATATTGTTCTCCACTTCTCAAGCGAAAATGCAACATACAAGCTGGTAAGAGGCCCATGTAGCTATAAACACGAATGAATACTTACTTTGGTAGGATCCGGTAAAGTCAGATACGCCATTGAAGGAAGGGGAGACAGTCCCAGATACTCCCGAGATTCCGCCTGGAGCATTGGCTTGTATTCAGTCATGGTTCAGTGACAAAAAGAACGTCAATGTCATCAACTACCGCCTAGCTACCGTCAAGGCCATCAAGAGCAGCTCGGACGCTTTGGGTATTCTCGAACCTGAGTCGTTTGTGTTCGGAGCAAACGGCGACGTTCTTAGCATCTATATCAAGACCAAGGGAAGTGGTGCTGGCGGTGGCGATGTAGAAGCCAAGTTCATGTCTACTGACAACAGGGCTATCAGGCCCATTCCCAAAGGACAGTCTGCTAGTATCATCGTTTCTCATCGCCTTTTGAATGACAAGGTCTTCCTACCCCAGCTAGAGAAGTATCGCACCGAACATAATATTTCCACAGCAATATCGACAAAGCCGAACGACAACGGCTTTACATATGAATTCTACCTCAAAGGTGACTTCGACGTCAATATGAAGGGCGAGCATAGCATCTTAGCCAACGTATCCCTGCCCAAGACGACAGTGCGCCTGAGCGATGCATTGACAACCCTCACGATAGACAATGGCAACGCCAGTTTCTCCTATGAGAAGGAGTATGAGATAAAATGGACCCCAATGTCAATGGGGTTCGGGGCTGTTATCATAGCGCCGAAGCCGAATGTCGCTGTTCTCAAGGTCAAGTTATCCCAGGTACGTCTTATCCCTGACTACAATGAGTGAAGAAGATTTAGGTTGATGCTAATTAAGGATAGAATAACTCGATTGCTGAAGTTAAGGATAACACTAACATTGCTATCGATATTAGTATCAAGAAGGAGTCTTTCAAGCTTGAGTCAAAGGCCAAGATAGGCAATCTATACGAAGGCGTGAAAAATGCATCAGTTGAATTTAGCGCAATTAGTTTAAAGTCACCAAACTTGAACTTTATTGCAGCTGAGAGTGTTCTAGCGCCAGGACTTACAATAGTTGATGTCAAGACCTTGAACATTCCCTATGATTTGATTCTGTGTGGGAAGATGATTGATAAGATTTAGTCTTAGAATAAGTTTAGTTATTTAAGAAACCTTTTCCTAAGTTAGAATATAGTACCGAGCATTAAGTCAATAGGATATGTATTTCTCTTCTAAGTTAAGCTAGAATTCTATATTTAAGGTAAAGAACACTTACAGTCTAGACT